GCCCCCCCCCCCCCAAAATCAAAGGTCTAAATGCAATGTGGTAACCAAGACTGGATCCAGAGACAGAGAAAGGACATTAGTAGAAAAACTGGTGCCATGAAAATAAAGATTGGAGTTTAGTTAATAATAATATGCTAATGTTAATTTCTCAGTTTTGACAAATATCCATGGCCATGTGAGATGTTAACATTATGGAAAACTGAGTAAAAGATATATGAAAACTCTCTGTAGTATTTTTGTACTTTTCTATAAATCTGAAGTCATTCCACAGTAATAAGTTTATTATTTAAAAAACAGAAAAAAAATCAAGACAAAATTCAAAGAGAAGTATCAAGATGGGGGGGGAAATCTACAGAAATATAACAAAAAGGTTAGTATTTTTAATACATACATGAAGCGTTCAAATATGCAGAGAAGCACAAAACCTGTAATAAGTAAATGGGCAAAACAGGAACCATTTACAAAAAAATCCTGGAAAGCAACTTAGTTTTGGAAAATGAACACTGAAAAATATTTATATCCTCTGTTCCTGTAATTCCACTTTTAGTAATTTATCTAAAGCAAAAGATGTTGTCATAAGGGCCGGCCCGTGGCTCACTCGGGAGAGTGCGGTGCTGATAACACCAAGGCCCCAGGTTCGGATCCCATATAGGGATGGCCGGTTCGCTCACTGGCTGAGCGTGGTGCTGACAACACCAAGTCAAGGGTTAAGATCCCCTTACCGGTCATCTTTAAAAAAAAAAAGATGTTGTCATATATAATACATGAATGATACTAATTGAAGATTAAAAAGCAAAAAACTGGGAAAAGCCCTTCTGTCCAGTAAGAAAATAGTAAAATTATACCAAATACAAATGATACTTAGTGGAGACTAGTAATTATTCAAGATGACCTTCTGTGATGGGGGAGGAAAGACCCTGTGCACAAAGGATAAAACTCAGGAACAGTTTCACAGACAAAGAAGATAATACACATATGGGATGGAGAAGCCTGAGTATAAATGCAGAAAAAAAGACTACAATTAAAAGGGAGAAAAAAATGTATGTACTAAATGTATGTACTTAAAAATGTATGTACTTAAAGCAGGGGATGCAACACAATGTTGGGATATGTTATGTGAGAATGATGACCAAATCCCTTTTAATTAAAAATTTAGAAAATGCTGTGCCCATTTGGCTACCACACTACTAACAGGGATTGAACACATCCAACAGCATGTGTCATAGCCTCTGAACATCTGGAATCACCATACTAAGGCACTACTAGTTGCACTATAAAAATTATGTTAATCTATCCGCCCCCCTTTTTTTGTCCAAACATATATCTAAATAATCCTAAAAAGTTCACTGACTTCATATTGTTCAATAATTTCCAGATCGTAGGATTTGATCAAACAATTTCCTGCTGTAATAAAGTACAATTTTGTCAAACATCATGCTATTGAAATGAAAAAAAAAATCTAGTTTTCTTATCAGATTTGGTATTACATATTTCAGGCATCATGAGCTTGAAATTTTTTTTTTAACTTTCAGAACGTCAGTTCACTTTGTGACAGGCAGAGGGTGGCACGAGAGCAGGCAAGTACACAGCATTTCTGTTAACATTCTGATTTTGAAAGTGCTAGTCGAGCTGAGTTTTTGCCCTTCATCCTGCCTTCCTTGACAACTAGTCTTCTAAACTCCAGCAGTACAACAGATCCGGCTTTCAGCAATACGATGTTCTCATCACAGACAAAGAAAAACAATAAAAATGTAAGTTTCATAACAATGTGAGAAAAAACAGTATTATTTTTATTCTTACTGCTGGGATGTACGGAATTGGAGAGAATGCATGGAGAAGAACACTGACATACCACTCGGCAAAGATCTGGGAGAACTCGAGTGAACTGTTAGCCACGGGGGAGATGAAGTAGAAGGGGACATTGGAGAGGCCAGCGGAATCAATGTACTGGTACAGGCACTCCAGGAGGTCATAGATCACTCCAGAAGGGTAGCAGGGCACCAGCACGTTTCCTCCATTCCGGACTGTCAGAGCTGGGAGAGTTAAAGTCAGGAGAACAGCAGTATTGAAAGAAGAGTATTATGAAGGTAGAATGTAACTTTTAAAATAACATCTGCACTTCTACTGTTTTCCTACCTCTGCTCTTACAATTCACTCACTGTGTAATAATCTGCTTCTCTTGAAGAATAGCACCAAAGTAGGGGAGTCTAGAGGCCAACTGCTGATTTTTTTATCACTGTCTAGTCTAAGTCCCTGGGAATAGAGTGTGCAATTAAGGGTTTGGGTTTTAAAGGTGGCCAATGGCAGCTGAGCTGCAGGACAGAACCCCTAAGCTCCTCCTCGTTTTAGATCCTGCTCAGAAATTTGCTGCATCTGTCTCTGTTCAGTCTCTGACCACGGCTGACCAACCTATAAGGAAACAGGCCAAGTTTTTCTGCTTGACTCATTTTAGTGGCATTTTCTTTCATTAATGTTTGTCTGTAAGAAAATTCTCCATAGTTTAAATACTTAAAATAAGTTATCAAATGAGGAATTGAAATTTACGAGTTATAATCATACTGGATTATAATAATCCTGGCTTAAAAAAAGAAAGTGCCTACTCAAGTGTGTTTTTCACTTAGTTTCCAAAACAAATTGACACAAGTGGCTTCTGGGTACACGACCTGGAGTCTTTGAAGCCTCCTAGCCGCCTCTGTTCCCAGCTCTGCTACACAGGTCCACCTAGCTGAGCCTGGCTCTATCTTGCCTTTGTCCCAAGCGACAGGACCACACGTAAGCCACTACATCCTTGCTGGGCTCTGTTTCCTCATTGGTTATATGAGAGGAATGAGTGGGGTCAGTGATTGCCAAGCTTTAGTTTGTGTGAAAATTGCCAGGGAACACACTGAAAATGCAACTTTTCTTTTGAATCTCTCCTCTCCCCAGAGATTCTGACTTACTAGCCTGTGGAAGGGTCCCCAAATTTCCATTTTCAGTAAGTGTTCGCACTGATCTTGAGGCGGGTGGTTAGTGGATCCCACTTTGAGATATAGTGGATTAGATGTAAATTTCCTTTCAAACCTAAAGTTCTCTGAGCCTGTGATTCTAGATTGTAAACAAACATACAAACCAAAGACTATACGACACTAGTCCAATAATTTCTCCAAGAATAAACTACTTTTGGCTTAATATCAGCAAAGAACTAAAGACAGACTATGATTAATAACATAGATAAGTGAAATTTCAAAGGACAGTGCCTTCTATGTAAACATGAGAAGATGACCATTTATTTTTCCTACAGCAGAGGTAATATCACTTAAAGTTGTCAGAGGTGGAGAGTCTGAGCTCATTAAATCCTCTTTGGTAACTACTATGAACTGAATGTTTGTGTCCCCTCCCCCTTCCCCAAATTCCTATGTTGTAGCCCTCACCCCCAATGTGATGATAGCAAGAGGTAGGACTTTAGGAGCTGATTAGGTTCAGATGGAGTTATGAGGGTGGAGCCCCCAATGGGATTAGTAGCCTTGTAAGAAGAGGAAGACACACAAGAGCCTCCTCTCTTCTCCCTGTGTGGACACAGCAAGACGGTGGCTGAGGAAGAGGGCCTTCACCAGGAATGACTGTGCCAGCATCCTGACCTCAGACTTCCCACTTTCCAGAATCGTGAGAAATAAATGTCTGCTGTTTAAGTCACTCAGTCTATGGTATTTTGTTACAGAAGCCTGAACTGACTAAAACAGTCATCAACCTATTTTTCTAAAAGGCAGGCAGGATTTCTAGATTTTATTGACAATTATATCCAAAAGAGAATAATTTTTTTCTAGGCAGAAAACACTCTGCAAGTCTCTCAATTTAGACTTTCCCCAAAAGGAAAAAAAATAAAACCAACCAAATATTAGTGGGAAAAAAATACACCTGTCCACCACACCTCTACTGTGAATTTAAGGTGTAACAGTCTTTTCCGTGCTATTATCTGGAAAGCAAAGATGTGATTCTTCTCTCCTTTGACAACTGCTATCCTGTAAGGACTCCTTCCCCCACCAAATCCTACCAAAAAGCAAGGGGGTTACATAAAAATGGTCTGTGGGAGAATGCTGAGTATTTGTTTTTTAAGGTGTTAAAATTCTGATTTACCATTTTAACAACCATTCTCACCACACCTTCAGATTTAAGCTGCTTTAGAACTGTTCTTATTGATACCAGTAGGCTTTGAAGGATGGGCAGAAAGGGTACAAGTAAATGGGGGTTGGGAGGCCTTAAAAGGGGTGCCAGAGGGTGTGAAGGTGAACAGAAGGGGCAAAGAATACCACGGAAGCAACGTATCAAAAAAGAAGTTCAAGACATGCCATCGACTTTGAAACTTGAGATAGCTACGTACCGAGGTTGCTGCAGAACTCTCCTACCATGCCATCTGGGTTTGCGGTGGGAATCTGGGTGAGGCCTGTCAGAATGAGAACATCGCTGTTTTTGAGGGAAGCTTGGTCCATGGGCTGAAAAACAACCACCAAGAACATTTCTTTTTGAATTGCTAAGCATGGTTATCTACAAGTAGTAAAGGAACAAGAGGACACAGACATTGCTCCTTCTATGTCCACCCTTCTCATGGTCCTCTTACCTCTGCTAATGAAGTCACTCACTGACAGCGGTTGCCTAAGGGGTAGGGTCGGGAGGAGGCACGAGGGAACTTTATGGATTGATGAGCAAGTTCTGTATCCTGACTGGGGTGGTGAATGCATCATATCGAAATTCACAGTAGATCGTTGTGTTTCACTGTATATACATTTTACCTCAATTAAAACAAAGTACCTCCTATTTCTATAATGCTTTACTCTTTTCCAAATACCATCTCACACATATCATCAGTGGTCTGCACTGGAATCGCCTGGAGGGTTTGTGAAAACATGGACTGTTGTTGGTCTAACTCCCAGGGTTTCTGATTAACATCTGAGGCAGGGCCTGAGAATGTGCATTTCTAACAAGTTCCCAGGACACACTCCTGTTGCTGGCTGGATAATCATACTTTGAAAACCACTGAATTCTATAATTTGATTGTGAAGTACGGGAAATAAGCGTATGTTGTGGAAATATAGAAGTTGGGATTCACAGAGGCGAGATGATTTATGCTAAGTCCCAGTGGCAAAGGAGCCAGAAAAAACACTGGATTAGGAATCAGAAACCTAAGACTACTTCCAATTCCATGACTAGCCCTGTGACCTTGGTCAAGGCTCTGAACTGGGTTTCCCAAAAAACAGGCTATTTCTTGACCCATCTCCTAGAAAATTTCTATGAGTTTCAGGAGCTAACCTACATGATCTTCCTGTGAGCCATGAAGTCATATGGATTTGTGGTTACTACCATGTGATCCTCAGGATGCTGTGTTTTTATTTTTATCTGGCATAATCTGAATTTAATTTTTATTGTTTTATTGTTTTCAGAGCATTTTAAAAAAAACTAACTACCTTTTATAAATAAATCACAACGACATCAGAAAAATGAAGGTCCATGGATTGAGGTGTTGGAGAGCTCACAAATGTTTTCATTTTGCGACACACCCTTTTATCACTTCCATTTAAAATAATTCACTGGAAGGTTAGGAAAAAAAGACGGTAACACAGCTTACTAAGAAGTTTTATCCCTCGTTTCTCTCTTCCACCCAGTAAAGAAACAGAATTACAGAGAGTACAACAGCAAAGTCCCACCATCTGGACTGCTGTCTCTGAGTGTATATGCCTTCTGAAGTATTTTAAATCTTTAGCATTTTATGTAAGCATGGACACATGGATTTCCTTGTGTTTCAAATAACATGACTGTGGTCATATGTGATAAGCTGCTCTAAACCTGAATAAGATTTCTTTCATATGGACACAGAAAAATTCTGGTGGTGAAGACAAGAAGTACATGTGAATAGCTGCGAGTTCCTTTTGTGCACAGAAATGCACCAATGCAGGGAAGAGCTTCTCCCCTGCTTGGGCACAACCATCTATTTGTCCTTCTCCAGCAAATACACACACATTCACTGTTCCCACAGAAGCAAGGAGCACACATGTGATGAACCTGGGACTGTTTCCTGTGTGCACGCATCAACTGGAAGAAAACTGGAATGGCGACAAGAGGGAGAAAGCATCACTGGGGTAGCATATTTAGCTAAAAATGGCAACAACTTTATAAGGACCTTGTTAGAATGAGCCAGTAATAATCCCCAGGGTTGATGGGGCTTGGGGCTTTAGAGGACCCAGAGACCCCGTAAAAAAGTATATACAATTATTATTATTATTTTTTGTAGACACCTGGTATACATAATTCTATGTGTGCCTATGAACATTCTTCTATAGATTTAAGTGGGTTGCCATATGGGGCCATGATCCTCAAAAGGTTAAGAACTAAGGATCCAGATGAAAATATATCATAGGGAGCAAACGGCCCTGAAGACATTATCTCTGAACCTCAGCCATCAGCATCTTTCTCCTTTGAAAATTAAATGCCTACAAACAGAGACAGTGCTACAATATGAATACTGCTTAGCTGGAACAGTTATAAGATGTGTCATGACCAGGTAGGACTGAATGTTTGTAATTTTAGCCCTATAACTCAGAGACATTTCTTATTGATTCCCAGGGCTACTATAATGAAGCAGGCTTAAAAGGCTTTTAAGTGACACTCTCCAATCCAAGCAGACACCTCAAACATCTCCATTCCACCACCAAAGGGCAAACGTATATACTGCTGGTGTCGGTAGCTACGCACTGAGTGCTTCAAATGGGAACATTTTGTTCAAACACACACAAAGAAAAATCCATCTTGTCCAAGTATCAAACAAAAACACCTTACAAAGTTGACAGTCACAAACAAGCTTATAGAAGAAAATTTTGAAAAACCCTAAGCCCCAGAATGCTGTGGCCACTGTGTTGGTCCTCTGAAGGGTGATTTTTATGGAACACGTTGCACAAGGGATGGGAAAAAGAAGAGCTAGTCCCTAGGCCCTCGAAGCTTATAATCTAGTTAAAGAGAAAACATTTGTGAATAATTAAAAAAAAAGGATTTTTCGGGGCCGGCCCAGTGGCGCACTGGATAAGTGCGGCGCACTGGATAAGTGCGCCGCTTGGGAAGCGCGGCGGTG